AATAACCAAGTACAGAACCCTGGCAATCGAAAGGTCTTGCTTGTGGATGAAACATACTTTAGCGGTCCCCCTAGTCATTGGGGCTTTGGGAAAGAGCTGGCACCCCAGAGGTTCCCCATGCCAAGCCTAGCTGTGGTCTTGGCTCATCGATGCTGTACATTGCTCAGGTTGTCCAGGTCTGGACCCCAGAGCCTGGGGAAGAGCAGATACCAGTAATGATAAAATACTTCTTTAAAACTCTTTCTTGGAACTGGGACCCCACCTGGCCCCCATGTTTATCTTCATTTTAATCACTTTCTTCTCCGATTTTTCCCCCTCCTCCCTTCTTTCTTTTACAGGTTCACCTGGCCATGGTGCGTTACCACGAGGCTGGCCGCTTTTGTGAGAAAGACCAGGAATGGGATGAAGAATCGGCTATTTTTCACCTGGAGCACGCAGCCGACTGTGGGGAGCTGGAAGCCATTGTTGGGCTAGGACTCATGTACTCTCAGCTGCCACATCACATTCTCTCTGAGATGACGCTGAAGGTACGCACTGCAGACTGAGAGAGAGACGAGCAGCGCTTCCTTGCGATTTGGTTCCTGCCTGCCCCCGTTTGTGTTTCACAGCTTTTAAGTGTTCGCCTAGGAACCTCGGAGTTCAGTCCTACAATCCCTCTAGCCCAGTATTGCCACCGACTGGAAACAGCTTTCCAGGGGCTCGGACACATTCTTTCCTCGGAGAGTCTGGGAGTAGAATCGGGGTCTCTCCGCCTTACAGACCATGTGCTCCTGCAGTAGTCAACTTTTGTCTATGCCTCAGGGTTGAATGAGACACAAAAATGAAGAAAATTGCGTTCATACGGATACACTCAACTAGGTAACCTAGAGTAGCTGCCCAGGTAGAAGACTTGATTGTTTCCTGTATAATGTGTGAAATGGCTTCCAGCCCCTGCCTCCTTAAAGGGAATGATGGCAGTGTTATTTGTCCAGCTGTACTGTCACATTTGGGGCTTCTGTCCATGTAGAATATCTTCTTAGCCACTGCCTAGCCATTCCCAGTGGACCGAGACAGATTCCTCTTCTTTTTACAGTATTTTGTGGCATGGCTGACTATCATACCCAAGGTCAGACCATGTATTTATAGGCACACATGCTGCGGGGCACAATCAGATGACTGTCTCAGGCAGCAGATGATGGGGGTCCATGAAAAGGTGGCACAATGTTAGTTCCTTAAGCACAATCCTTTTGAAGAAGCATGAAGCAGAAGTGCAATCACGCAGCCCAATTTCCCCGTGTGAAGCTAGACGTGAAATTGGGTGCCCGACCAATCAAATGAAGACAACCCATCAGAGGGGGTAAAAAGGTAAAGGTAAAGGTTCCCCTTGACAATTTGTCCAGTCGTGGCCGACTCTAGAGGGTGGTGCTCATCTCTGCTTCCAACCCATAGAGCTAGCGTTTGTCCGAAGACAATTTTCCATGGTCACGTGGCCAGTGCAATTAGACATGGAACGCTGTTACCTTCCCACCATGGTGGTACCTGTTTATCTACTTATATTTTGCATTTTGCATGCTTTCGAACCGCTAGGTTGGCGGGAGCTGGGACAAGCGACGGGAGCTCACTCCATTGCGTGGATTCGATCTTACGACTGCAGGTCTTCTGACCCTGCAGCACAGAGGCTTCTGTGGTTCAGCCCACAGCGCCACCACGTCCCATCAGAGGGGGAGAATCTGCTAAAACACAGTTTCCCGCTCTCGGTTCCCAGATGGTCTTGGTCCTGCAGCCCCCAGAAATCCTGGCCAGCACAGCTCGTGGTGAAGGCTTCTGGGAGTTTTAGTCCAAGAACCTCTGGTGACCCAAAATTTGGGAACCTCTGTGGAAAACAATTGTTGTTCTGTCGGTGGATTAGGATGACAGGAACATGTCTTTTTTGTTGTTATTTTTTACTTGATGAGGTGCTCTGAGGGATTTTCTCCTTCATCTACCAAAACAATGTGGCAAGCTCTGGGTACTGTGCACCTCATCTTATTTATTTATTTATTTATTTATTTATTTATTTATTGGACTTATATACCGCCCCATAGCGCTACAAGCACTCTCCGGGTGGTTTACAATTAAATTATACAGGCTACACATTGCCCCCCCCCCAGCAAGCTAGGTACTCATTTTACCGACCTCGGAAGGATGGAAGGCTGAGTCAACCTTGAGCCGGCTACCTGGGATTTGAACCCCAGGTCGTGAGCACAGTTTTAGCTGCAGTACAGCGTTTTAACCACTGCGCCACGAGGCTCATCTTGGATGAGGACGGCGCCACTTGTTGCTTTGCCTCAGGCCGCAGAACGTGGGCATCCGGCCGCTCTAAGATGATCGCAAACGGAAAAGGAGGACGATGTGCTAGCTCAGCCTTTTCCTGCACAGAAATTGGAAACGGTTCTGTCATGTAACGGTTCTTTTCCCCCCCCTTTCTTTCTGCTTTCGCTTCTGTAGGACAACAAAGAAAATAAAATCAAGGGATTTAATTATTTACTGAGAGCAGCAGAAGCTGGAGACCGGCCTTCTATGATCATTGTGGCAAGAGCATATGATACAGGCCTGAACTTGGCTCCTGATAGGTATTACTGTACATTGTTAAGAGTGTTCTGACTGTTCCTTTGTTAGGTTGATGGCTGGATGTCTTACCTTAGATGATCAGCTTAAGATTCCCCTATGGAGGTGAAAGACAGCATATAAATATTTTAAATGAAGGAATGAATAGTTCTTCTGTGACAAGGGAGAGTCTCCTAATCACTGATGACTGTTCCTTTGTTAGGTTGATGGCTGGATGTCTTACCTTAGATGATCAGCTTAAGATTCCCCTATGAAGGTGAAAAACAGCATATAAATATTTTAAATGAATGAATGAATGAATAGTTCTCCTATGACAAGGGAGAGTCTCCTAATCACTGGAAATCTGCCTTTTATATTTAGAATGGGATTCCCACTGAAGCTTGAAAGGAAAACCTTTATAGCAAAGGGATGGTGCAGATATAAAAACAGCTTGTAGGAAGTTGGTGATGAAAGAGGGTTTCCTAAGAACCTGATGATGGGCTACCTGCTTAGAAGAGGATGTACCATATTTTTCCGTGTATACGACACCCCCATGTATAAGAGTTTTCTAATCCAAAATTAAGAAATCTAAGTGGGGCTTAGCAAGTGTAGGGGGAAAGGGATCAAAGCGCTGCAGGATAGCTTTGATCCCTGCTTTCCCCTCCACTTGTTTTTGTTCTCTCCTCAGCTTCCGTGTATAAGACAACCCTCAATTTTTAGTCTAATGATTTTAGACAAAATTATAGTCTTATACACGGAAAAATACGGTACATCTTCACTAGAACACTGACCTCAAAATCCAGTGCTCTAGACGAAACCACCGGCTAGCACAAGGGTTGGCTGTTCTTTTCTGCCAAGGGCTGAACACTGACCTCAGAGCCACATGCTGGCGTGGCACATGCTGGCCTGCCCTTCCCCTTCTCTTTCCCCCCCCTTTTTCTGCTGAACAAGGGAGGAAGAAACAGGTCACTTTTGCCAGACAGCGGAACTGACTCTTTGCTGGGGGGCTTTCAAAGTTAGGGCAGGGGCTGTTACTTTGTCCACCTCCACTTCAGTATAACTTGCAGCTTCCCAACAGGTCAGGTTAAAATGACCCCCTTGGTGGAGCCATAGAGAAGGGCTTTACTAGCTGTAGCTCCTCAGGTGTGGCAGGCTCTCCCCGAGAGGCTCAGTGGTCGCTGTAGAGTGAAAACGTCGTCAAACGAAATAAAAAAACCCCACTGAAATGCATTAAAAACCGGTTAATGCGTTCCAATGGGCGAAATACCTGCTTGTCCAGCGAAGATCCTCCATGGGGCGGCCATTTTCTGGTGCCTGTCTTGTGAAAAATGGCTCCTAAAAACATCCGGGAAACATTTTGAGCAGCCAGCGGCCATTTTGAAAACCCGATGATCAGCTGTTTTGATCGTCGTAATGCGAAGAATCGGTTCCCAAAGCAGGGAACCGATCTCGCAAAGCGGAAAAAAAACAAACCATTAAAACATTGTTTTGCGATCGCAATTGCGATTGCAAAAACATCGTTGTGAAGCGGATTCGTCGTTATACGGGGTAATCATTAAATGGGGCACGACTGCATATATTTTTTTAAAATTCCTACCCTGGGATCTTAGGATATGGGAGGAATATAAGGTTCTCAATATATAGCTATCTGGATTGCTGAGTGGTTTAGGTATCTGGCTGCAGAGCCTGAGGTTGGGAGTTTGATTGCCCCACCTGTGCCTCCAGAAAGAAGAGCCAGCCTGGGTGGCCTTGGGCCAGCTGCACAGTCCCAGGGCACCCCCTAGAGGAAGGGAATGGGAAACCACGTCTGAGCATTCTGTTCCTAGAAAACCCTGAAAAGGGTTGCCATAAGTCAGAATTGACTTGATGGCAGATGATGATCATTTTATAAGTGAAGGATGAAGGAAAAATTACAAAAGTTGAGTGAGTTGTTGTATATAAAGTTGGAATAGCTCCTGCTAAGGATGTTCACTGATTTAATTTTTAACATCAGTTTAATGTTGCATCAGTAAAAATGTAAAGTATCTTAGTTCCTTAGTACCAGTATGTGGTACTTCTTTAAATGAGGTGTACTCTAGATGTTCCTTTTAATAACTGATCCATCAGAGATTTGGCTTAGAGACAATGGACTCAAGTCACCACCTTCTTTTAAGCCTGGGTTAATTCCCCATCTTGGCTTTTGTCCTTCAACTAGAGGAAGGGACTGGAAGCAAGCCTTGTATTGGTACAATGCTGCACTGAACATGACGGATTACGATGAAGGAGGAGAATATGACGGGATGCAAGATGAGCCTCGGTATCGCCTCCTAGCAAGGGAAGCAGAGATGCTGATGAGTGGAGGATTCAACCTGGAGAAAGATCCACAGAGATCAGGTATGAGATGCTGACCTGGAGTTGTTCATTTGAAAGGTACCTGAGAGGCAGCAAAATAGTACTTCTTCCCAGGCAGGTAGATCGACAAGTGGAGAGAGATTGGAGCAGAAGAACAATATGAGAATGAGCGAGAAAGAGAGAGAGAAACCAAAGACTTGATTGATATGTATCTTATAATAGGAAGAAGCCTGTATTCAGAAGGGAACAAATATGTGCTTTAGCAAACTGACCATCTGTCTTTCAGTCCTGAGTTGTTGCTTTCTCACAAGTCTCTCTCTTCTAGTTATTATCTTTCATTAAAAAAGAGTCTTTCTTTCACTAATTCAGACATTCCTTACCACTGACCATCTTGCAGTGAAGGAGAGGGCAAAAAAGTTGAGGGGGCAATTCTGCTTTGCTTTGCTTTCTCCTGTTAAGTCCCTCTTTCCCAAGCTGTCACCGTCCCAATGTGTTAGACGACAATCCCCATTGCTTGGTTTGAGGTGATGGGAAGTGTAATCCAGCATATCTGGAGAGCAGACGGCTAGGAAAGGACACTTTTGCTTGCACTGCATCAGCATGAGAAGAAAGTTTGTTCTCTGAATGAAAAATCAGGAAAAGGCTGCGTAGTCCGCAAAACAATATAAGTGCAAGAACAGGGGATACATTTATTGGACCACTAAAGAAATAAAACAACAACAAAAAACAGTGAGCTTTCAGTGATAAATCATCTTCTTCAGGCTGTGCACCAAGGTCTTGTGGATAACTCCAAAACTATGTGCTTTTATTAAAGTCTCAAAGGCTCCTGGCTGTTTTTGGGGGCCAGGTTTAGTTTCTTAGATGGAAATGGCTGCAACCTGCAAGAAGGAAGGTGGTTTGGAATTTATCACCCAGCTCTTTAAACAAAGGGCCGCCAAGCACTCTGAACTGCCCTCATTTCCCTCTTTCCCCTTCTTTTTGCAACTCAAAGAGTTTCTGTTTGGCTAGGGAAAGAAAGAACCCAGAAGCACAGCAAGCCTCCATCAGAGTTGGGATTAAATTTAAAAAAATAAATTGAGAATAAATTAATGAAGTTCCTCTGTTGTGTTTTCCTAGGTGAATTGTATACAGAAGCTGCTGAAGCTGCTATGGAGGCCATGAAGGGCCGGTTGGCCAACCAGTACTACCAGAAAGCCGAGGAAGCCTGGGCCATGATGGAGGAGTGAAACTTCGAAGAGGAACTGTTTTCTTGTATATATTAGATAGACATGTTTTTAAAAGACTCTCTATTTTGTTCGAGGCGACAGAGGGGTGGGTTGGGGAACGTGACAAAGGGAGCTATTTTTTATGTGTTGTTAACAGATCTTGCGTTTTTCATATGATGATTTTTCTAACTTTGTTGCAACTGAGAGACAAACCGAAGCGGTGAAATGTACTGCCGACGACATTTCGGAACTGCAGTATCAGTTGTTGATATTTTTGTAAAAATTGTCCAACCAGGAAAACCTTTTTTCTTCACTAGGAAGAAATAAAGCTTGGTGTCAGGGCTGAAGTTGTCATTTTCTGGTAGGCGCGACTGAGAAGCTGGGCCAGGCGTGCGTCTTACCTCCATCCCAGCCCTTGCAAAAGGCGGATACTCTGTGCTTGGGTGTTTTTGTTACAAGTGCATCTCTGTCTTGGGTCGGGAGTTGAATTCTGCAGTGTAGGGCCTAGCTGTAAGGAGGTGGCTTGTGCCAGAAGATGATGATCCCCTATTCCCAGTGTTCCTCAAATCTGTGGAGAGAAGCAAGAAGACCACCATCTGGGTTTGGAAGCCTTCTTGTTTAGAGCCGTTTCGTTAGGCTCAGTGTCTGTGACTAACCCAAGGCCACCCAGAAAGTTTCATGGCTCAGGGAGGAGTTGGAACTGAGGTCTTCTCCATCCTAATCGAACCACCAAGTCACTCAGAAGCATCAAATAGTGATGGCATCCAAAGGAGGAACTCCCTTTTTTCACATGATAGCTGGCACTTGTAGATTATGGAGGATAGTGGCATACCTGTGCTCCTTCCTTTCTTTCTTCCTACCTACCTATCTGTATCCCCCTCCGCCTTTTTTCTTGCCAGGAGAGATTTTTAAAAAAGGTAAAATTGAATACATGTGGCTCAAATCATGGCAGAATTCTCCTATCTTTCCTGGAGGGGGTTTGAGCAGAAACAATTTATTTCAAAATACAGTGGTGCCTCGCAAGACGAAAGTAATTTGTTCCGCGAGTAGCGCTGTCTTGCGAAATTTTCATCTTGCAAAAAGCGGTTTCCCATAGGAATGAATTGCAATGCATTCCTATGGGAACCTCGCAAGACAAAAATAATTCATTCGTCTTGCGAGGCATCGGTATTGCAAAAAACATTCGTTTTGCGAAGGACGGCCATAGAAGAAACCGTCTTGTGAGGCACCACAGCGATCTCAAAAAACCATTCATCTTGCGGGTTTTTCGTCTTACGAGGCACCACTGTACCTGGTGAGTGTAAGGGTGCTGAGGACTACATTTGGGTTCCTGGCAGGCCACATGCATCGTGTGGACTGTATTTTGCCTATATGTGTACTAGAGCCCTTCTTGTTGTTTCCTTCATAATTTCTTAACTTTGAAATGTAAGGCAGTTTTGCTCTTCAAAACCAATGAGGCTTCATATGCACCTTTAAAGTGGTCCAATCCCACGAGAGGATGGTACCAAGCTGCCTTTGTATGACTCAGTTCTGAATAACCTGCGTGGGAATGGAAAGATACCTTAAGAAACTGATTAATTGGAAAATAAAACGTTGCTTGTGGCATTTGCTGTTGATTTTAAAGCTATTATGCAATCTGTTCTGGAAAAAATGAAATCCTGTAGATTCATGGTTAGAGTTCTGATTCTTACATTTATATCCCTGCATTGTCTTCTCAGGGTTAATGAGAAGAAAAAAGGAGAAATTTTGATACGAATGAATGAATGCATGTGACTGGTGGAAATTAAAAATATACGGATAATTGTGTCCATAGTAGGGTGCCCATTTTATTTAGTCACGTTTTGTTCTCTGTGGAGCAGGGTTAATCTTTTTTTCCCCTTCACATTGTGTATGTGTTTAATTTAAAAAATAGTGTTATTTAATGACAAAGAAGCCAGTAATAAAAGTAACCACTATTTCAGTCACTCTTAAGCGAACAAAAACAAACAAAATAAGGAGCAATTAATGAGCAGTTCATGATTAAAATGCCAGGTGTGCTGAACAAAATGTAAGAAAACAAAGACTATGGACAAGTAGCTTTCAGTTAAAGGCACATTAGTATTTAATGACATTGATAATGTCTTGCCTGTGAATACTCAAGATGGGTTAATGTTGCAGCTGCATTTTGCTGTTTAAAAAAATATGGATAGTAAATTGGAAGAAAAACAGGGACAACACAGGAAACCACGGAGGGGGGGCTTATTTCCAGCATTGGTTTGTACCGCTTCTGATCACATTCCGCAAGATGGCACCGCAGTCTTGCATGTTCCTCTATGCAAACCATGCTTCTGTATCCATTTCCATAACAGCATCTTTCTGTGCGTGCAGGTCAAGAATGCTTTTCACGTCCCCGCTCTCTTGTGCGACATTTGAAGAATATCTGTGTAGCCTCTTGGAAACAATAGGCATCTCCAGAAAAGTTACTGGGGGAAAAGATCATGTGGATTATCTGTGCAGATTATATCATACTTTAAAATCACAATTAAAGGCTTACCTGATCGTTCCTTGGTGTTGTGTACACGTCCTTTGAGTGTAAGACAAAAAAGGTTAAGAACCACTGGTGTACATGTCTTTTGAGTAAGAAGAGTAGGCTAAAAACCTTGCCCTCCACAAAGTCTAGATTTCTACATGGAGGAGTATTTTTGTGTTGAGAAGTACACAGCCGTGTGAGTCCTCACCTACAGTCCAAAGAGATAAGAGACCAGACTAGTTCAAGTGCATCTGAGCAGAAGACCTAGGAGTTTCCATTCCTGCCATCTCTGTCTCCCTATATAACTGTCGTCTGTTAACATGGACATTGTGGTAGTGCAATAGTTTCTATATACCATTGGCTAAGCATTAGAGTTGTTTGGATTTTTGAAGTTTATCTTTTTTCTTCCTCCCCCAGCCCCCCGCTACAGCCAAGCTTTAGACTGTTAATTATCTTTCCTGCACTTTGCACCAACTCTTCAAAGAAGAAGTTAAAAGAATTTAGAGCTCTGTATCTACTACCTCTCTGTCCATGGACAGGCTAACTGCTAGTAAATCTCGTCACAGGTTAATTCATGTCAACATGATATTATAGATACAGACTTTTAATTTACTGCATCCATGGCTTCTTTCAGATCTTAATTCTGCTTGACCGGCTGATTAAAGTGCTGAACTCCACTTCTTGCTATCCGTGCTTCCTAAATGGGGTACTTGGAAATATGTATTTTTTACAGTAAGAGATGCTGGAGGATATTGATTGTTATTGACACATAACTTGCAACTTGTGAATTCTTTACATATTTGCTGAGCTCATTGCGAAGAATAAAAGCCCTACTAGGCTGAAAGGCTTGAATTGCTGTATGATGTTTACATTATTCAGTGCAAGGGTGGAAGCTCAAAAATGCTGCGACAGTTTACATTTTCAATAAATTTATGAGGACAAACCTTACTCTGAGTTTGTGTCCTTATTTTGTGCGTCCTGATCTTATCAATGTAAATTCATTTATGGTTCTCACCTAGTTTTGTGGCCATAGTTTGGAAAGCTGGATAGCTCAGTGGTTTAGATCTCTGGCTGTGGAGCCAGATTTTGGGAGCTATGGATTCCCAATGGTACTTCCTTGGCTGGGGCTAGACTTGATGATCCATTAATTTATTCTTATTCTTCTTATTCTTATTCTTATTCTTATTATTCTTATTATTCTTATTCTTCTTCTTCTTCTTCTTCTTCTTCTTCTTCTTCTTCTTCTTATTATTATTATTATTATTATTATTATTATTGTGTGAACATACAAGACACAGTCTTTGACTGTTATTATATAAAACATACAAAATTTTACCAAAAAAACAAGTACCAGTTAAATATCTGTGTAATATGTATGCTGTTCCTAATGCTGTTTTTTTGCAGCTCTGATGGTGTTATTTCAGAGATCTGCAGTTGATTATAATACAGTATTTTATAACATTCCATGGCATTGTTCCCAATGCTTTATGAGTATGGGAACCAATGTGTTTTGGATCCAGAAATCTTACGATGATGATGATGATGATGAAATAATCAAAAACAGACAAAATCATAAAAGCATTGACTGGTATTATTTATTCATTATTTATTTATTTATTTAATTTATATCCCGCCTATCTGGTCGGGTCAGGACCACTCTAGGCGGTATTATATAACAGGTAGAAGTTGTTATTAAAAACACCAGGCACAGTCAATCAATATTATAAAAATATTGACTGGCATTATAACAGATACAGTTTTTAACAAAAAAAAAAAATCTAAGTATCTGTTAAATATCGGCGCACTATATATGCTGTTCCTCACATTGCCATTTTTGCAGCACTGATGCTGTGATTTCTGAGATCTGCAACTGCTTATAATACTGTGTATTATTATTATTATTACTGCTATTATTATTATCAGTTGCAGATTTCAGAAATAACATCATCAGAGCTACAAAAAAAAAACAACACCCAGCAATATTAGGAACAGCATATATACTGTGTCAATATTTGACAGATGCTTAGGTTTCTGGTTAAAAGTCGTGTCTGCTGTATAATGCCAGTCAATGTTTTGTCAATAGTTTTGATTGACTGTGCCTGGTATTTTTGAATGGGAATTAGGAAAAATAATCAAAATAATAAAGCACACATGTGTATTAATTACCAGAACATACAGGGCTAAAGTCTCGATGTCCAGAACAAGAGGGTGCCTCAGCAAATTGAGAAAAGTGTTGATTAAGCTGATACCAGAGTCTGTGAGACTCTGGCTGGCCACAGACATCACTATATCTTGTGGCAGTGAGTTCCACCATTTGTGCCTGGGCTCTGAAAAAAGGCGCTATGAGACACCTCCTATTTGGAGCAGGAGCTTCCAAGGCTTTAAACTGTGTTGGTATATATATAGATCTATAGGTGCCCTGCCAGCCTACTAGCCACAGACATCACTATATCTTGTGGCAGTGAGTTCCACCATTTGTGCCTGGGCTCTGAAAAAAGGCGCTATGAGACACCTCCTATTTGGAGCAGGAGCTTCCAAGGCTTTAAACTGCGTTGGTAGATAAATGTTCTTTCTTTTGTCTGTTCTCAGTCTCCAAACATCTTTTACACCCAATGTAGTACAGCTACAAGAATTAAACAAGTGATGGTGGTGTGTGTGTGGGGTGGAGAGTCGGCGACTCCTATTTCTCTGGGGCAGTGAACTCACTCTGGGTTTTGATTAGAACTTTACCTCAGCGATCCATGGTGCTCAACCCTTAGCCCCCCCCCATTTGTTTCATTCAGCGCCCCCCCCCCATGACCCTGGCAAGCAGCAGGGCAGAGGATGAAGCCAAGAAGCCTCTTCTGTTCTGATCCTCCTGCCTCGCCGCCATTTTAGAGCCATCCTAAAGCCCATCACTGGCGCCAGTCCTTTTCATGGCCTGACCCAGAGCCGCCCCAGCCTTTTTGCTGCCTGAGGCCCAAGCAAGAGGGCACCCCCTCCCCCATTCACACTCAAAAGCTGCCTGGCTTGGGGGGGGGTTAGAAACTTCCCCCAGCTTCAGAGGACAGGAATTCGAACTCTGTCCCTGTTCCCTTAAACCTCTGGAAGGGGCCGTTTCCAGGGACTTGACACAGGTCAGGATTTTGGGGGTGACTGCTCCCAACTCCATGGCCTAAGTAGAACAAATAAAATTTAGATTTTTGGATGAATGAATGAATAATAATTTTTGTTTTGGATGGGACTGGAGAGAAGCGTAAAACTCCTGGCATTTGAAGGGCTCATTGGAATTTTATTCTTGTGATCTTAATGTACCAGCCAGATTATTTTGTTTTAAGGAAATACATAATTTATTTAAATATTTAATATGATGACGTTCGCAAGGATGAATAAGCAATAGAAGGACCCCTTCAGCAGCGGGGTAGCGTGGCCGAGCGGTCTAAGGCGCTGGATTAAGGCTCCAGTCTCTTCGGGGGCGTGGGTTCGAATCCCACCGCTGCCATTCCGTTTTCGCTCGCTTTTTTTGGAGAACCGGCAGAAGAGCCGGAGGCCCAGAGAAAGCCGAGGAAGGCGCAGCAGCGCCCCCTGCTGCTGGCCGCCGCCCCTCGTGGGGGCCGCATCTCTCCTGGCAACTGTATTTGCGAAGCATTGTGGGTAAGAGGGAGGACCCGAACCTTCCCACGTGGCTGGCGGGGGAAAAAAACCAACATGGCCGCCGGCTGAGCGCTTTCCCACTGGAGCGGCAGGCACGTTGCTTCCAGCCTCGGGTGGTGGTGGTGGTGTGGGGAGGGGGGAAGGGGCAGGCCGCCCCCCTCTCCTCAGCGGAGCCTCAGGTAGGAGGGGGTGAAAGATGAGGGAAGGGGCGGCCCGGGACGTGTCCCCCCTTTTTAACCTTTCCCGTCTTCGGGGCTGAGACTTCCCTGCCTTGCAAGGCCTGAGTCGGGGCTCTTCTCCAGCCTCCTGATGCAAATCCGGGGTGGGGTGGGGTGCATGATGTGGGGAAGGGAGGGGTGTGTGGAAACCCTTCACCTTTTGTATAGCAAAGGCAGTCTGGTGTGGAAACTGAGAAGGGGATCCCAGGGCCTAGGGATGCTGAGGGTAGATGGAATGGGGGGGGAGAGAGAAATCCTGAAGCCCTCCCATGGGAGAAATCCAAGTTAGAAGCAGTTGGAGAGAGTGTTGAACTCACACACACACACACACAGACACACACACAGACACACACACAGACACACACAGCACAGATTGAGGTATAGCAAAGGCAGTCTGGTGTGGAAACTGAGAAGGGGATCCCAGGGCCTAGGGATGCTGAGGGTAGATGGAATGGGGGGGGAGAGAGAAATCCTGAAGCCCTCCCATGGGAGAAATCCAAGTTAGAAGCAGTTGGAGAGAGTGTTGAACTCACACACAGACACACACACGGCAGTTGGAGAGAGTGTTGAACTCACACACAGACACACACACGGCAGTTGGAGAGAGTGTTGAACTCACACACAGACACACACACACACAGAGGGCAGTTGGAGAGAGTGTTGAACTCACACACAGACACACACACAGGGCAGTTGGAGAGAGTGTTGAACTCACACACAGACACACACACGGCAGTTGGAGAGAGTGTTGAACTCACACACAGACACACACACAGGGCAGTTGGAAAGAGTGTTGAACTCACACACAGACACACACCCACACCCGTTTTGTCTCCTGAATGTGTGGCGTGTGTGCGCGGTTTGTCTGCCAAGCCTCCCCCCTTTCTGCGGCGTGCCTTCATCAGCAGGAATCTCCTTCCCAGCCACCGACCTTTAGAAAAGGGATTTCTGAAATGCAAACCCTTGTCTGAACAAGGGAGCTAAGAGCCCCCTTTCTCAAGGGATAAAATAAAGGTTCCTCTCTGGAATGAGGCAGTCTGGCAAGATCTGGTCATGGGACCCATCCGGGAGTGAGAGTTGTTTTAGGTAGGACAACAAACCCGTTTCCGTGTCATGCCTGGGTGTTGCTGCTTGGTTACATCATTGTGTTTTATTTGGGAGGGTTGGTCACTCTCAGGAAAACCCAAGATTTTTTTTCAATGAGAAAACTCCAAATCTACTTTTTAAATTATTACGTTAAGGAAAGGTTTACTTCAGAACAGAATAATCTCTACTTTTTTTGGTCAAATGTAAACATGTTTTATATGGAGACATTTAACAGCCTTGTTGAAAAACTCCATATCGTTTGGAGAAAATTAGTTCGACCAGACTAAACATTAGCATTTGGGGAGGGGCATGTAAAGAAGTTTAGATAAATGAGGGGTTTTTTTAAATCACCCTTCTTCTGTTTCCTGTAATATTTGGGAGCAAGGAGCAACTTTCGTTTGTCTTTGGGGTGTTTGTGGCTTGCTGGATGACTTTTGAGCAGGGAGGGGCTCTGTATGCTAGGGCCCAGGCTTGCTCAGCACTTCCAGAATTAATCCTTTAGATGTGCTGTGGAATTGGCAGTGACTCACTTGTGCAGACAGTTCTCCTAGCTTTTGAAATGACTTTTACTTATTAAGTTGCCCTAATGCAGTAAAATACTGGTAGTGGGTTGTTTTTTCCAGTACAGCATTATATTAAAACAGTAGCCAGCTGTATATCTGAGTGTTTTATTGGTTGCTTCTGTGGATCTAATATTAGCTGGATCTGGAGACTATAGCAGATTTATTTTTTTCTGTGTGGCATAGTGTTAAAACATCTTTGCCTCAGGTTTGCAAATCAAGTTGTTTTAAAGTCAAAAAAGCAAAGTCTAATTTCGTATCAGAGGTTGGCAGCCTTGAGTTTGTCTGCCAAATACAGACTCTAGTAGAAAGCTTGAAAATGCATCTTCAATTTTCAAAAATTAACAAGCTCTTTTGAAATAACTGTAACATTCCCTCTTTTTCCAAAAGCTAGTATCTAATCTTTATTCAGTATTTGGTGTTTGAAATCATGCAGGCATTGCCTGTGGATAGACCCGGTGTTCAAGAGGCAGAGATTCTGTGATCTGAGGGGTGCAGAACAGAGGTTCTCAATATGTGGCCCTCCAGATGTTTCATACTCCAGCTTCCAGAATCCCCAGCTACCATGGAAAATGGAACTTAGAGTTAGAAACACCTGGAGGACTTGACAAAAACTACTGGCAGAGGAAAAGCTTCCTGTTCTGTGCTGGTTTGTTTGATCCAGTTTTGTCTTTCCCCCATTGTTAGTGGCAGTTTTTAAGGGGCTGCGAACAGGGTCTTTTCCATTATCTGCATCGTGAGGCTGCGAAGTGGAAATTTCAGAGATTAAAACCAGGGCCTTTTGCACACAAAGGGTATGTTGTGTGGCTGAGCCATGGACCTCCCATGGTCTGCTCCTCTTGGCCTCTAGTTACTTTCTTTTATGCGTGTGTGGTCTTTCAGCTGTCACTTGTCAGCAAAGTTCATCACGCTATTACATAATATTCTGAATTCGGTAATTGTACAATTCTATACCTCTATTCACAGTTACTGTATGAATGTCCAAGGAAGCACAAAGGTGTTTGCCAACACACCACTCTCATCTAGTGTTAACATAAGTCTGTCCGCACTGTCATGGTCGGCGGTATAGAAACCTTGCTGTATCTGATGCGGAGAAACCATAAGCTTTCTTTGCAAGGAGAGTGTGGCCTTTTAATTGGAATGGGGAGCCAAAGGGATGAAACATGAGTGCTGTATTGCTCACAGTGTTGTATTAATTCCTTCCTTCTGGCTATCACAATTTGAAGCTGGCTATGGGAGAGAGGTGTCAGATTTTACTTTCTTGGGCTCCATGATCATTGCAGATGGTGATAGCAGCCACGAAATTAAAAGATGCCTGCTTCTTGGGAGGGAAGCAATGACAAACCTAGACAGCATCTTAAAAAGCAGAGGCATCACCTTGCCGACAAAGGGCCGCATACCTATGGTTTTTCCAGTAGCGATGTATGGAAGTGAGAGCTGGACCATAAAGAAGGCTGACCCATGCTTTTGAATTGTGGTGCTGGAGGAGACTCTTGAGAGTCCCCTGGACTGCAAGGAGAACAAACCTATAAATTCTGAAGGAAATCAACCCTGAAGCTGAGGCTCCAATACTTTGGCCATCTCATGAGAAGAGAAGACTCCCTGGAAAAGACCCTGATGTTGGGAAAATGTGAAGGCAAGAGGAGAAGGGGACGACAGAGGATGAGATGGTTGGACAGTGTCATTGAAGCGACCAACATGAATTTGACCCAACTCCGGGAGGCAGTGGAAGACAGGAGGGCCTGGCGTGCTTTGGTTCATGGGGTCACGAAGAGTCGGACACGACTAAACAACAACAACAATGAGAGAGGAGAGCACAGAGAGGCTACAGAGTTTTCTGGTCCTTATTGTCTTATAATCACTGGTGTTTCCACTTAGTAGCATCAATATGCAAATCATGGAATATACCCCTTTTCCAGACCCTTAAAAGCTGCCACTACCAACTGCTTGGAAAGGCAATGGGGTGATGGAAGGGGGTGTCAAGGAAAACCTCTTGTCTCGGACATTCCTTTCCCTTTTCCTCCTTGAGTATGAAGTTCGGTGGTAAGAGCCTGATGGGTGCTAGTTGCCGAGCCTCTCGACTGACTTTAACTGCGGGATAAGAAAGTGACAACTCAGCTGACTCTTGTGTCTTTTCTTCCAGTCTGCTCCAAGTAATTCCAGGGCCTTTTTTCTTTCGATGCTAGTATGGCAAATGAAGAAGATGACCCAATTATACAGGAGGTAATTTTTCAGTCTCTTTCCCTCCCTTCTGTAAATTTGTATGCCACCCTGTTAGTGCAAAAGCAGTACTCTGGTCAGTTTACAATCAACTAAAAGAATAAATGTAAATGAAAATAAGAAGTTCCTTCCCTTCACTGCAACATAATATTTTTGTACCACCTAGCCCAATAAAGAGTTCTGTGCAACTAAAATTTTTGCACATTCTTACACACTTGAATTTTAGTGGGCCTTCGCAAAGGTGCTGCCCGCCTTTGCATTTTTTATTTTGTTGTATCCTTTTGGGCTGCCAGCATGACTAGCCTTGTTGTGTGTGGGTTTTTTTTTTAAATCAAGTGTTTTCCTAATTTGTTTTATATGGGCTCATTCTGTTTTTAAAATTATTCATTCTGTGCTAAGTGGCATGGTTTTAAGATTTTGTAGGTGGGATATAAATATTTCAAATAAAATGGAAGGTAAAATATCCTCTCTTTTTTTGTCCTTCATCTTTGCTAGATCGACGTGTACCTGGCCAAAAGTCTGTCAGAGAAACTATATCTGTTCCAGGTATTTTTGCATTTTTTAAAAAAGGAAAATATATTAGATCAACAGCTTCTTTGATATGTGAATAAGCATAACATCTTTGTTCTGTTTTAGTATCCCATTCGTCCGGCATCAATGACTTATGATGATGTGACCCATCTCTCAGCGAGGATAAAACCAAAGCAACAAAAGGTTGAGCATCATTTTCAGATTTTTTTTTAAAAAATGTTGTTTCGTTGGTCACATTAAGCTGTTTAAAACATCACCGCTTCCTAGAATGGAGTGGTGCTCCCATCTCGGTACTGTACCTTCCATTCTCTGTCTTTCTGAATCACTTCCTGCCTCAGTTATCAACACTGGAAGTGTCAGTCAAGCCGTTCTGATGGCAGGAAACGAAGTCGCAAGAGGGAAGAAGAACACATTGAAAGAATTGTAACCGGTTTAGTGTCGTGCATAAAATAAGACCATTGGTCTTATTGGGAATGGGCCTCATGGGAATTATAGTTCCACCTAGAGGTGTGCAGACTTGCATTTTTGAACTACAACTCCCAGAATTCCATAAGCACTCCCAGAATGCTCGGTGAAATCCTTTGCTGAGAACTGTCCAAGGAACATGACTGTTGGTTGTTGTAGGTTTTCCAGGCTGTTTGGCCACGTTCTGGAGTTCTCCAGAACAGCCAAACAGCCTGGCAAACCTACAACAACCATCGGATCCTGGCCCTGAAAGCCTTCGAGAATAATAACTTGAACATAACTGCCCACCTCTAGTTCTAACCACACCTGGAAAACCACACATTCCCCACCTCAAGTGCCTTCAATTTACTCTTTGTAGGACTAGAGCTTCAGCTATGAATTGAGAAGCACCCCCATGCCAGCTTTGATGCTGCCAAGATCATGCAAAATAATAGCCTTCAGCCATCCACTCCCCTTTAGTCTCCGTCTCTGCCTCAACATTGCGTGCTTCCTTCACAAGCGTTCTTGTAAGAAATGCAGGACCAGGAGGGGCAGTAATGTGCAGCCTATATAGACCACAGCCAGGTCCCACAGATGTTTTTGTGATTCACGAGTAACCTAGAAAAAAATGCACAACCATTTAAACATGCCTGTCTTAGCCTTGCCTGCCCTTTCCAATTGGCTCTGAAATTTAGCAGCAGGGTGCATAGACTGCGATAGGGCCGAGAGGCACCAGAATGGATTCTTGGACCCTTGACAGGGCCCTGGAAAGCCAACGCTGATTCTTGGTAGCCTGCCTCTGGCTTATCTCTAGTAGCCGTACCTGTCTGTCTAGCAAGCTCAGCCAAAAAGAAGCCATCCTTCTTAGAAGCCACCGGTGTTCCCATCGTTTATATTCTGCCTTGAATCACATCTTTGGATTAACAGCCAGCTTCTCCTTGTAGTTTACATTTCATTCTTGTTTTTAAAACATTACATTGTAGAAGTCCACCATATCGCCACAAACAGACTCGGCCACGTTTGTTTTGGGAAGCCGAGCAGGGTCAGAACTGGTTAGAATTTGGTGGAAAACCACCAGAGCTGGAGAGTATTCTGGAGAATCACAGGCAGTCAAGAGTTGATGGTACCAGCTTATTAAATAAATAAATAAATAAATAAATATCTGGACTTGTGGTTTGGTGATAAATAAATAAATAAATAAATAGCTGGACCCATAGTTTGGCGTGGTATTAAGCAGCCTCCTACGTTGCTCTGTAATTACTGGACTTCTGTTGTTGTAGGTTGAACTGGAAATGGCTATTGATACACTGAATCCGAATTACTGCCGCAGCAAAGGGGAACAAATCGCGCTTAACGTCGACGGCACGGGTACAGACGAAACTAGCACATATTCCTCGTAAGTGTCATTGTTGCTTTGGGTTAAGGTGCTGAGTTTCAGCTCTGTTCATTTCCAGGAGCGCAGGCCTGAGTTCCGTAGTGCCTTTTAAGGACGTAAGCGGCGGTGGCTCCTTTTAAAAGAGAAAGGGGGGGTGTAAAACTGTTTAAATAAATAAGTACTGCTACAGTACTTGGGGATCTAAGCCTTGGCTTTATTGCGATGTGCAAACTGGTCGTAAATGGAAAGCAAAGAGCTCACGAACACACATCAAGGAACTGAAGTGCTTAAGATCTGACAGTGTGAAATTGCCAAAATCATCTGGACTGAGTGATTAAGAAAGGCATGGACTAAATGATAGATACACAGAAGTATTTTTCTACTGTAACATTCAAAGTTGGAGAAACCGATGTCTGGTCAGAAAGTCTCATGGGTGCAGGAAATCTGAGTGTGAAGGTGTTGTGCTTGTTCAGTCTTTACAATGTCCTTTCTCAGTTTGAGACAAGCGATGGTTTGTTATTCTGAAATTGTGATATCTGCACTTGGTTTTTAACTGCTATACTTAGTGCTATGATGGAGGGGGAGATAAAGGGAGGCAGAGTTTGGGGGCTGTTTTCAGGACGGATGATGGTGGCATGGCTGGTGTGGCAGGGTAACTCATAATATCTCTTTACTCTGCCAAGTAGAAGAGGTGATAACGAGGCTTTCAAGTTTTACCATTATTTGTGACAGTTTAGAAGAAGGCAGAAAATGTGGAAGGTTAATCCGGGGTTGGGTTTTCTTTGGGGCTTCTGCTTCATGTTAGCCAGTTTCAATGGTACTGCTACTTAGCAAGAAGTGTTTTTAAAAACAAAATTATATTAATGGTCGCATTTCCACCAGCTGAAGATCTTTGTTAAGAGTTTTTACAAGTTGAACCTATGCATGCGCACAGTTTGCTGCAAGCTTACTTCTAGGAAACTGCATGTGGTTGCGGTCAGGTTCTACAGACGTCTTATAAGATTTTATTACTGGCTGGATTACTTTGTTGTTTCCAACGTCTGGGTTTTGAACCATCGTGTTAGCTTGTTTTGGTTGAAGGAACGCAACTAGATCTTCCTTCTAGAGCTACGATGGTGTATCGTCCTTAGTAGCTCGGCTGAGGAGGTTATTCCCTTTTTGACCCACATTCTTGCAGATGGCGAGGGGTCTAGCAGACTCCTGGAGCAGTGGGGGTGTTGGGAAGGGCCCTTTTGTGGCTGGGGACAGGGCACACCGACCGTTTATCGCTCTTGATGCTCCCCTGCATGGAGTGGTTACAGCTCAGTCTGTCTAACAGGAAGGCCAACACAAGGTTGCAGTGGACAGTTTCAGTGCTTCCCGATATACTGCCACGGAACAGAGGCATAAATGCTCAGGACGTGCCCGTGTCTCTTTCTCCTTCTCTTGCTTCTCCTTTTCTCTTAAAAAAGGGAGAGAAAAGCAGTGATTTGGTCATGGATCGGCCAGCCTTCTGAGCCTTCTATGCATCTGCTTTGCTTTTTACCAGAACGAGACGTCTTATAAGATTTTATTACTGGCTGTATTACTTTGTTGTTTTTTTACCAGAACTGTGAGATTCTCATGTTTTGTAAAACACAAACATTTGGAGTTACAGGATCCTGTGCTTAGAAGTGTAGCTGCATACCTGTAGCCGTTGGATCCTGCTTTAATTTTTGCATCTCCGTGAAAGCATTTTGGCATTTATTGTCGGATGAGACACTTGAGATGCTCTGCCATCGTTTAGGGGCATGCACAAGAATTCTGTTACGCTTCAGGGATTGGGGTTTGAATCCCTAGAAGCGTATGTTGTACATGTCCCTGGCAGGCAAAAATCTACTTCTGGTTACCCTACAGTCTCTACATTTCAGCAGTATACTTTGTCACAGATGTATCTGGTTTAAGTACCTGACTGTGGATCCAGAGTTTAGGAGTTTTCCCCCACTTGGCTTTCTTGACAGGGTCTGGACTCGATGATCCATAAGGTCCCTTCCAGCACTGCAGTTCTAAGGCCATTATACTTCTCCCTTCAACAATGATGAAGTTAGGGGTGCCGGAGCCCCATGTGGTTCAAAATCCATGTATAACTCTAGTGGCCCCAAAAATGTGACTAGAAAGCATAAACAGTTGATTCTCTCTCTCGACACACACAAATACACATGCACGGACGTGCAGAGAGAGAGAGAGAGAGAACAGCTCTCTCTATTGTTCTCATCCATAGCATTGACAGTCCATTTCATAAGTACTGTATGTTCGTTTAGTCGTGTCCGACTCTTCGTGACCCCATGGGCCAGAGCACGCCAGGCCCTCCGGTCTTCCACTGCCTCCCGGAGTTGTGTCAATTTCATGTTGGTTGCTTCGCAGACACTGTCCAGCCATCTCATCCTCTGGCGTCCCCTTCTCCTCTTACCGTCACACCTTCCTAACATCAAGGTTTTTTCCAAGGACTCTTTTCTTCTCATGAGATGGCCAAAGTACTGGAGCCTCAGCTTCAGGATCTGTCCTTCCAGTGAGCACTCAGGGTTGATTTCCTTAAGAATGGATAGGTTTGTTCTCCTTGCAGTCCAGGGGACTCTCAAGAGCCTCCTCCAGCACCACAATTCAAAGGCATCAATTCTTCGGGGGACTGCTTCCTTTATGGTCCCGCTCTTACTTCCATACATCACAACAAGAAAAACCAAAAACAAACAAAAGTACTGTATGTAATTACCCTTAAAGGTCTTTATGACGCCCCAATCTCGATGAATTCGCCTCTATATGTTGTGTTGGGGGAAAGTAGACCGCTTTGATGCCTTTAGTATTGAACTCATTCTGGGTGGCCAGGGGTACAGTGTTTATTGAATACCTACTTATTTACTTAATGTTTGTTTATTTGTTTATTCGAATACTTGTTTATGGAAAAAATTTATGTGTATAAACAAAACCGTCCTGTTCAGATGCATTTTATTCAAGAAAGAAGTGTATTACTATTATCTGTGAGGGAGAGCTTATTTTTACGGTTGAGATGAAAACAGAATTCCTTACCAGTGCATTTCAAACTGCCTAGATACTGACCAGTGGGTCCAAACTGGCTTTCTTCCCTTTCCTGAACTGTTAATGGGAAACCACTCCCTGAGTCGTACTGATCAAAGCTCCTTTGTGTGTTTTACAGGAAGTTGATGGATAAGCAGTCTTTCTGCTCCTCTCAGACCACAAGTAACGTTTCACGATATGCTGCTGCTATCTACAGAAAAGGTGAGTTGAGTCCCCAAGAGTCCTATCATTTTCTCGAAGGGTTTGTCTGTCATGCTTAAAAACGAGTTGAAAATACCCCAATATTTTAGAATTTCAATATTTAAAGAAGAAAAGTAAATATTTCCTTTTCCACCACATGGCTTTTGACACAGCATTCTCTCTATTGTTCTTTCCTTCATATGCTTTGGCTGTCAAAAGGGTGTTGCGATCAAGCCGGGAATTGGAAGTTGTGGTTCTTGCTGAGAAATAAAACTTTGCTGAATTAGGGTCAGGCTGGGTGGCTTCCTCTCTCAACCTGTCCTGCTTCCCAGGGGGGTGGTTGAGGGGAAGGAGAGCCGTCTCTACCACTTCGAGGAAAGGTGGGATATAAATATACCTAATAAATAACTAGAGCTGGCTAGATAATTCAGTAGTTTAGGTCTCTGGCTATGGAGCCAGAGGTTGGGATGTATTCTCGAAGGCCGGGATCTGACGGTTGCGGATTTTTCGGGCTCTTTGGCGGTGATCTGAAGGTTCTTCCTGATGTTTTGCCAGTCTCTGTTTCGCCAGTCTCTGTGGCCGGCATCTTCAGAGGACTGGCGTAGGAACTCTGTCCATGCTCTGTTGCTGTTTGTTGGATAGTTGGGTATTTATAGCTGTGGGAACAGCTTTTGTCCTATTCAGGGGATAGGGTGATCAGCGTGTTTTGGTTGTGGATGTATTGTTGTGTTAAGTAGGAGAGATTGTCACTGTGGTTGATGGGTGTCTTTAGCTGGTCTCTTTTGTGCAATGATCCCAGGTCCTTGTGGCTGGGTAGAGTTTGTTGACTGTGACGGCTACGATGGTGTCTCCTGCCTGTCATTGCTATGGCTGGAGTTCATCTGCCTATAGCAGGACAGGAGGTGGGACTTCAGAGGGAGGAGCTAAAGTATATAAGGGGGAGTGAATGATGAGTGAGTCAGATAGGGACTTGGTTAGGGTCTGGTTAGGGACTTAGGGCATGTGCATGTTATGAGGTACTGTGTTAGTGAAGGTCTGAGAGAGAGAGAGTGTATGAGGGGATACTTTATTATATTGATTGCCTGATTTAGTTAATACAGTGATTTACTATTACTTATGTTGTATCAATAAACAATCATTTTTATTTTAAAATCCATCCCATTGTCTGAGGAGTCAGATATGTGTGTGGTTGGTGGCAGCGTATAAAGTGTGTATGTAAGAGAGACGTGACACCTCCTTTGTGACATGAGAGGAGGGTGTCACATTGACCTTCTGCAGGCTGTATATTTCAGTGTTGGAAGCCAAGCCAACACTGGGGGGTGTGGGGTTTCAACAGTGGAGGAGTTCGATTCCCGCACAGTACTTCCTGCAAGTAAAGCCAGCCTGGATGGCCTTGGGCCAGCTGAAACAGTCCCAAGATTGCCCCCTAGAGGAAGGGAGTGGGCAACCACTTCTCAATATCCTCCACCTGGGAAACCCTGAAAAGGGTCATCGTAACTCAGAATTGCCCTGATAGCTCATGATGGTGATTAAGAAATGCTTTAAAGTCTCCTCCTTTTCCCTCAGGTGAACTCCACCTTACGCCACTACATGGGATTTTGCAAATGAGGCCTAGTTTCAGCTACTTGGACAAAGCTGATGCCAAATACCGGGAGCGAGAAGCTGCTAACGAGCGTAAGTCACTTACCCAAGGGTTTCCTCTTGATGGCCTTAAAGTCCAGGCGCAGGTGGGTTTTAAAGGGCCAGATTCTCAGCAGGTAAGGCTGAGAATGGTGCCTGGTTATGGGGATGTCTTGGGGGGGGAATTATTTTTCTGGCCTGTCGTTTTGAGAATCCTACAGCCCCTGGCTGTGCTAGCAGTGGGCTTCTGGGATTTGTAGTCTAGAAAAAATAACCTTTACAAGCTCTGGTAATGATTAGCGGTGGAAAAGTAATGGGTGTATATCCAGTCTGAGGGCTGCAAGATTATTCACAAAAGTATGTGTGTGTGTGTCTTTTCAGTTTCCTGGCACAAGGAAGAGATTCTTCATGTGGGCTTTTATTTTCTGTTCCCAAATAACAGGGTAGATAAAAGTCAAATGATTTTTTAAAAAAATCAAATTGATTCAGATCACAATTTCAATTTTTAAAATGATTTATTTTAATTTAAAGGGTCAAATAATCTGAATTTTTAAAAATTAAACCATGATTTAAATCAAATGCACCTTGCCAAACAGTGCACAAGTAAGTCCGCAGGACCCACACTGCACACTTTTGAGAAAAGTGCACAAGGAACATGTTCTGTTCAGTGGGTAAATATATGGATCAGGGGAAAGTACATACCAAAATAGAGTTTTCTGTTTGGGAAGAGGAAGAATGAGTTGTCCAGTTTTAATACAGAGCTTGGATGAATTCCTTGCTTCCAAAGAAAACTGTGCTGATGCTCTCTGGGGGGGCCAAAGGCTTTGTGAAGTGGGCAGGAAAGCTACCCTTCACACAAAGATTGAAACCTCCCGGGAAACACCATAAGAAGATATAACCTCTATGTATTACTTGCTGCCTGGACGGCTCAGTCGTTTAGGCATCTGGCTGTTTATCCAGAGGTTGGGAATCTGGTTCCTTATTGTTCTTCCTGTGAGTGGAGCCAGCCTAGGTGGCCTTGGGCAAGCTGCGCAGTCCCACAGCGCCCCTAGTGGAAGGGAAGGGTAAACCACTTCTGAGTGTTCTCTATCTGGAAAACCCTGAAATGGGTCGCCGTAAGTCAGAACTGACTTGATGGCACTCAAGGATGATGATAATCATCATCGTTGTTGTTCTTGTTATTAGTGTGGATTTCAACTATGATCCCAAAAAAAGTAGCGGTTACAACAAATATTCGTATCCTATGAAATGAGCAACCAGGGGGGTTCCTAATCTTTTATTTCATATTACCAAGATACCAAGATGTGTTTGTTCGTCTTCAAGGCGCCAGGGCCCTGCTGCCATTATATGTGTGTGTGTGTCTTTTCAGTTTCCTGGCACAAGGAAGAGATTCTTCATGTGGGCTTTTATTTTCTGTTCCCAAATAACAGGGTGGATAAAAGTCAATGATTTTTTTAAAAAAAATCAAATTGATTCAGATCACAATTTCAATTTTTAAAATGATTTATTTTAATTTAAAGGGTCAAATAATCTGAATTTTTAAAAATTAAACCATGATTTAAATAAAATGCACCTTGCCAAAGAGTACACAAGTAAGTCTGCAGGACCCACACTGCACACTTTTGAGAAAAGTGCACAAGGAACATGTTCTGTTCAGTGGGTAAATATATGGATCAGGGGAAAGTACATACCAAAATAGAGTTTTCTGTTTGGGAAGAGGAAGAATGAGTTGTCCAGTTTTAATACAGAGCTTGGATGAATTCCTTGCTTCCAAAGAAAACTGTGCTGATGCTCTCTGGGGGGGCCAAAGGCTTTGTGAAGTGGGCAGGAAAGCTACCCTTCACACAAAGATTGAAACCTCCCGGGAAACACCATAAGAAGATATAACCTCTATGTATTACTTGCTGCCTGGACGGCTCAGTCGTTTAGGCATCTGGCTGTTTATCCAGAGGTTGGGAATCTGGTTCCTTATTGTTCTTCCTGTGAGTGGAGCCAGCCTAGGTGGCCTTGGGCAAGCTGCGCAGTCCCACAGCGCCCCTAGTGGATGGAAAGCATTTAAAACATTTTTGAACATTTAAAGACACTTTTAAAATTGAAAAAAGGGCATCGTTAAGCGAAACGGGGACCTAAAAATGCATTCGCTATGCGAAGCATGGTCCCGAAATCGCTAAGCGAAAATCGCCCATAGGAAATATTGTTAAATGATGCATAGAATTCTTTAAAAAACAATCGTTAAGCGAAAACATCGCTAAACGAGGCAATCGTAAAGCGAGGCACCACTGTATATTTTTCCTTATTTATCAAGACATTTTTAGTTCTGATTCTTACGCTTTTCTTTTTGCAGCCGGCGATTCTTCGCAGGATGAAGCAGAAGAAGATGTCAAGCAAATCACGGTATATGTCTGAAGGTTGATGTTTTTGTGCAGTAATATAGGAAAATGTTTTATACCAGAATGGATTGTTTTTCCCTACCTAAGCCAGTGTTGTCTGCTCTGATTGGCAGCAGCTGCCGAGAACTGAACCCGGCACTTTCGTATGTGAAGCATGCATTCTTGTCACCGAGCTACCATTCCTTCACAGATGCTTTTATGTATCTTAAGAAACACGCTCTAATTCTTCCTCTCATCTTTCTTTGAATGTCTGGGTCTCCCTTTGCTTTCAGGTGCTTTCCTCTCATATCGAACCCTGGGAACTTTTCTGTCAGCTGTTTCCCCCCCCCCTTTATCAGACAATCAACCCTCTTGAGCAGTGGTGGAGAAACTGAAAGGAGCGTAAGGGGTGGGATCTGGGCCTTCTTGAAACCCCACTCCTCTCCTCTCGGCTGTCCTGCTCCCAGATTGTTGAAGATCTTCTCCTGCAGTCAAGAGCTTTAATAAATTAGGCCGCCTTGTTGGTTCGTTGGAGGTGCTGAGTTTGCATCTTTTCCATCTGGTTTTTTACACTCTTTCAGTTCTTCGCAGTGTTTGTGACGAAAGTAAGGGCCTTGCAGTCGAAGGTGCTTCCGTGTTCTCCAACCTAGAGAGAGTCCTGATGTGAAGGGGAGAAAAGGGCTGTGTTTGTTTTAGTTTTAACATGATTCCAGGAGCTTTGATCTTGTGGGGTAATTCCAGAGCAATCCTCTTTTCAGGTGAGGTTCTCCCGCCCAGAATCAGAACAGGCACGTCAGCGTCGGGTTCAGTCTTACGAGTTCTTGCAGAAGAGGCAAGCTGAGGAGCACTGGGTCCACCTGCATTACTATGGTTTAAGGGTATGTGGTTTACAGCTGCAAAGGTGTCTTGTTCAATACATCAGATGCATACACAGTTTATTTTCTTGGCCTGATATCCTTCCGGAGGGTTGGGCTACAAATCCCACAGATAAGAATTGTAAGGTGTTTTCGTTTCGTTTTTTAAAAGTGTACCTTTTCCTGCACATTAATCATTTTTAAAAATGTGTGCTACATGGAAGCTAGAAGATATGGGAATGAAGATCAGGGAAGAGTATTGTAGGATGTCCATTTTTAGTTTACTTGCTGAATCCATCAGGACTTGAGACTCGTGGCGTGGGGTGGAGATTTAAGTGCTCTGGCATGTTTGATCAGTTTTTCCCCAACCAGGAAAGAATGCCTTAATCTCAGCTTTTGAAATGGCTGTGTACGTATTTTAGAGCAATATGAAAAGAATGTCAGCTATTCTGTTTAACATAAATAGTCCGAACATGGAGATTAAAGATTGTGAGATCAGCAAGTTGTCTAGAGCAGTGGGGAAGCATGCTTAGTTTTAAAAAGACATGGGAAAGAACGTGGATATTGAGCTTTCTTTTCTTCTTCTCTAGGACAGCCGGTCTGAACACGAGCGCCAGTATTTGTTTAGCCAGGGTCACTCCCTGGCTGGGAATACGGAATTAATTAAATCTCCAAGGTAAACATTGTTTCATTCCTTGAATCATTTTGTAGGAGCAAAGGTAGAAGGATGATGTATTCTGATTCCAGCATCCTCCTTAAATCTACAGGTGGCAAGTATACAATGGGAGATTTGAACCCCCAGATCTTTTAGGTCATGGTGAACATTTCGCAGGATGTTATTGAAGCCTGTTCAACCAGTAATACAGTTCTTTCTCTGTGGAGTTGTTAAATGTGAAGTACTGCAGTGAAGATTCTCCTCACAATTTGTTCAGTCTTGATGGGCCTCAGGTAGCCATCTCAAGGTTGACTCGGCCTTCCATCCTTCCAAGGTTAATAAAATGGATAGTCAGCTTTTGGGGGTGGGGGTGGGAGGGAAGGTGTAGCCTGCATAATTAAATTGTAAGCTGCCCAGAGAGAGCTTTAAGCACTGCGGGGCGATATATATTCCTGACAGATGCACCATGTCACACTATACTACTTTTAGTCACTCAGTCCAACTGGCTTTCATCATTTGTGAGCTGCTTTGGATCTTCTTCCTGTGAGGATGGTGGCACAGAAATGAAATTTAAAACAAACAAACCTGGGACTCACTGTTTGTATTTAGAGACACGATATTGTAATCTGAATATATAAAATAGAGAAGAGCATCCCTGATGGAGTTGGGAGTGAACTTTTAAGGCTCAAGATTCCTTATGGGCAACACCAGCCCCGTAAAGGTCCAAAAAATTACCATATTTTTCGCACCATAAGACGCACTTTTTCCCCACAAAACGGGGGTGGAAATTCTCTGCGTTTTATGGAGCGAAAAAAACAGATTATATTTTCCTGTTTTCTTCTTTAAAAATGGTGCGTCTTATGGAAAGGTGCGTCTTATGGAGCGAAAAATACGGTAGATAACGGGGAATCCTGAACTGGAAGTGACCAAATACCCACTTCCACCTAGGACCATTTAATAAACAGTATGTAACACCTGTCAAAAACAGAAGTTTTATACTATTCTGAGGTCATTGTTTGAGTGAACCCCTTTGTGAGCCAGCCATCAGGGAGTAAAGGATTTGCACCTTGATGCCCAGGCAAACATTGATATGGCTGTCATGGATATCTGGTTTCACACTGGAATTAACCACTTCAGGGATAAATGTGATGGCCCGTCACAGGCTCAAACTATCAGTGGGAGTTACAAAGTTTTAAAGTTTTCTGTGGTCATGGTTCCAGTGTCATACATTTAACCTTGACACACTTACTGCTGTTTTTTTTTTTAAAATTGGAGGACATATGGAGAATGTCAGGGGACCCAGGGATCCCCTGCAAAAACTAGATGATCACTTCTTTTGTTTAAAAGGTTACTAAAAATGAATTAGGCTGAAGATGCCGGAGGGAGTGTCTGTGAAGACTTAATGAGCCTCAAAAGCAACCTTGGTAGGGGCAAACTTTGCCTACTTTGGTGTAAAAGAGTAGAGCATTTTGCCTCTCTTAGAGTTGCTCAGCGGTATCTACTGTATTATTTTGAATTCATAAAGCAAATTAATGGTGGCCTGGAGCTTTTAAAAATCTGATTTTCCCGTGTCTGAAAATGCACATACGGTGTTTAATTGATTGTACTCTTTTCCTGTAAGCTTCTGTATCGCAATTATCTGCACTTTCAGTACTGAGGTTTAAAACACACACTGCTTCCTTTTTATTTGCTGCCACTGAGTCAGTTCCAAATCCGTTTGAATTTCCACCCCGATGGCCTGAATAAAATAGGCAGTGACTTACATGGTAAAATATTGTGGTCCTTTGGATGCCTCTCTGCCAAAATGGTCTGACTCTTTAGGCCAGGACTTGGTCACTTTGGAGTGGGGGCAGAGGTGAGGTTTTTGTCCCTTGGACCCAATGTGGGACTCATCACTCATGCGTTCATGTAGAGTTGCACTGGTGTAGGCTACCAAGAGCAGAAACATAACCTGTTCGTTTGTTTTGTTTTTCCAGGAGGGGCCAAGGTCCGCAAAAACATCCTTGACCCACTCCTTCTCCTGCCTTTGCTATGGCTGCTGCCGCCAACCAGCCCTGATTTAGCTTTGATTTCTTTTGATCACTTGTTCCACCAGCTCTCAGATGCACCCTAGAAATTATTATCTGTGTGTGTTTTCTTCATGGGGCAGTAAGCTGGAACAAGTGGCCAGCTCTCAGATGCACCCTAGAAATTATTGTGTGTGTGTGTGTTTTTCTTCATGGGGTAGTAAGCTGGAACAAGTGGAAAGCAGTTCTACAGAGGAAGGGCAGGATCTGTTTTTGATCATCCCAGAGTTCAGGACATGTAATAATGGGCTTAAGCTACAGGAAACTAGATTTAGGCTGAATATCGGGGGGGGGATTCTTAACTGTTAGTGACAGCGTACGCTACAGGAAACTAGATTTAGGCTGAATATAATGGGGGGGGGATTCTTAACTGTTAGAACAATACGACAGTGGATCCAATGACCTTGGGAGGTGGCGAGCAGGCTAGTGCTTCATGCATTCAACAGAAATGCTGGCCCACCATCTCTCAGATCTGCTTTGACTTGAGTTCCTACCTTGAGCAGGGGGGGTTGGATTCGATGGCCTTACAGACCCCTTTCCATTCAATTATTCTATGTTTCTAAGTCACAAATGGTGTGACAGTTTTCAAAGCGGTCACTAACAAGATGTGTGTGTTTTGTTTTGTTTTTTGCAGCGAATACTTGATGATGCTGGTACCTCCAAGTGTGGAGGAAGAGAAGTAAGTAAGCCAGATCTTTCTTGCTCTTGATGGAAGCTCACCACTTTTTTTTATGTTCCCCAAGAAAAGTGGTCAACATTTATTTGTCTGTTCATTTGTTGCATTTATACCTCCCCTTCAAAAGCCTAACAACCTAATCCAGGGGTGGGCAACATTTAACCTTCCAGATGTCCTCAGACTGAGCCTCCCATGAGCCCCGGCCAGCATCGGCAATAATGAGGAATGCTGGGAGTCGTAGTCTAACATCTGGAGGGGTGTTGTTTGTCCGTTCCTCATTTAATCCACCAAGTAGTTGCCCAGTAAAGGAGAATAGGCCAGGCTTTCCCCAAAACCTTTGTGGTCTTCTAATTAGCCTTCTAATTGGCTCCGCTCATCCTTGCAGACCCTTGTCTTAATGCGCATACAGTGTCTGTCCTCAGATGCCTAGTTTTCCCCCCTTTCCCACGAGGCTTTGAAAGTTAGCCTGCCTCAGGAAATTACAGGGGCACACTGGCATTCCACTTGTCTCCTCTGTGTTGCCTTCTTTCTGGTAACCTTCAGTCACCTTCCCCTTTCTGGTCATCCGGGACCAATGTGGAGTGCCGTTGGTGGTCCACTTCCAGTCTGTTGCATGGCACCTTGGTGAATGGCCGGAGAAATAGAAGGACCCGGGTTTGGTGCCCAGCGTCTCCTCAACTTCTCCATGATGTGCATTTGAACTTTAGAATTGGTGGTTGGTTGTTTATACTCGCTGAACTGTTTTGTAGCCCCAACTCTATTGTAAAGGACCTTTTTCGAAGGTATCTTGGCCTCCAAACCATGGTGTTGCTACCAAAATAAAATCTTTATATGGGGCTGGAAAAAGTTGTCCATCTGAGGAGAGAGTTCTGCTCGGAGGCAGTCATAGTTCGGTAGGCAGAGTGTGCCTTTTGCATGCCCAAGTTGTCAGGATGAGTCCCTAAGGTGTCCGGATAGGGTTTGGAATAACGCCCCCGCTATCTGCAGCGTTCCTGCCAGTTTATAAAGATGAGGGAAGGGGAACCTCAATTGCCATCAATATCCATAATGGTTATGAATGATGGTGTGCTCAGACGTTTGGAGGCTCGTCTCCTGAGCTGTATATGATCCGGAGCTGAAGGGACTGGTGGTTTGCTTTGGCATCCATCCTGTGTCCTTGTGTTTGCAAACATGCATCCATCCATGCCTCAAAGCTCACTCTTCAAGGGCTGCCAGTTTCCCCCCAATCTGATGGCAGATCTCCGGGGACACCCCGTGCTGTGTTTTTCCATGTTAACTATCCTGTTTCTTCTCCAGTTTAATTCATTATCTTCTCTTTTCAGGGACAAACCTGTGGCTCCAAGCAATGTGCTCTCTATGGCTCAGCTGAGGACTTTGCCCCTGGCTGACCAGATCAAGATTTTGATGAAAAATGGTACGTCGTTTTGACATTACCTCCACATTTTCATGCCCCCAAACTAACCTTATTTAGACATACAACAGTAGCGAAGTGGGGGCTTGTCATGATGGCTCTGCTTATTGCATTCCTTGGGAGAATCCAGAAATATCGCACCTATGTGGGTCTGTCTCCACAAACTGGTTCTGGCTGTTTTTGTCTGCATCAGGGAACAGGGCTTTTGTAAACTTAATGGATGCGGATTGCTTGTTTGAAATCAGGTTGTCAGAATACCATTATAACAAAGATAGCCTGTGTTTTGCTCAGATCTTTGGATATAATTCAGTATATAAATATTAAGTAAATAAAAATATCCACCCCTCTTCCTGCTAGTGTAAAAGCTGCAGCACAGTGCAGAGGGAATAGGGGAGCAGAAGACATCATGATTTGCTAATTAACCCCTTCATCAGTTGACAAAAGTCTCTGCCATTGTCTTGAAGGAGAAAGTACAGTGAAATGCTATATTGTTACACTTTAAAAAAACACCAGTCTTGTTAGCTGGGTATCTTTTTGCTGTTTTGGCTTGTAACTCTCACCATCATCCCACAGCAACATGGCCGAGGATGTTTGTACCTCTAACTCCCAATATACCTGGTGAGCACCAGTCAGAGAAAGCTGATGTTCTAGGAATCTTTGAATGGTCTTCTAATTCTTGTGTTTTTTCCCCCTCCTCTTTAGTGAAGGTCATTGCTTTTGCAAACCTGATGAGCCTCTTGGCTTCTGGGACGGATGCGACCGCAGCCTTGCGCTGCATCCAGCAGGTGGCGCTGTTGGTACAAGGAAACTGGGTTGTGAAAAGGTAAAATCCCCTTTTCTCCTGGATGATGGTTGTTTTTAGAAAGCTGGTTGCTACTTCCCTGTTGTCTTCTGCCATGAGTATACGTGGGGGATATCTCAGGAAGCCCGAAACAGTTACATGCCCATTGTGTGTGTTCACGGAAACACGATTTTGCATCACATATGACAGTATACTATGGCGACTGAGCAATTTTTGCATATTTCCAGAGAGTGCAAGCAAGGTGGAATATAAGAGAAAATACTAGAGTGTGGAGGAGGAAAATACTTTAAGTCCACTGGGTGTTCTGACCAGGGTATTCTAGCAGCTGTGGTTCAAGAAAATGGAATTTGTTCTAACTCTGAGAAATGGCTAGATTCGGCAGAATCCTAGAATAATGAGTTGGAAGGCCATCAAAGCCAACTCCTTGCTCAGTCCAAGAATCTAAATCAAAGCAGATCTGAAAGGCGGTTGTCCAGTTTGCTCTGAAATGCCTTCAGCATTGGAGCACTCACCCGCTTCCAGTCCATGTTGTACTGCTCTAACAGTTGAGAAGTTTTTCCTAATAGTCAGTCTAAATCTGGTTCCCTGTAGCTTGAGCCCATTATTATGTGTCTTGAATTCTGGGAAGATCGAGAACGGATCCTGCCCTTCCTTTGTATGACTACCTTTCAAGTATTTGCAAAGTGCTCTCATCTCTCCTTGGTCGTCTTTTCTCTAGACGAAACATGCCCAGTTCTTTCAGTCCTTCCTCCCAGGGCTTGGTTTCCAGTTCCCTAATCATCCTTGTTGCTCTCGTCTGAACTTGCTCCGGTTTGTTGGCATCCTTCAAGTGTGGTGTCCAAAACCACAGGTCTTTTAGCTTTAGAAAGCTACTTTTTCCTTGCCAACCATTCCCCCACCCTCGTTCATGTGCAATTTTGAGATGCTGCATTTCAGGTCCTGATTTTGCAACCTGTCTTAATTGCAAGGCCTATAATTGGGCTGCCTTTCATCTTGCTTTCCACTAATGTGAAATCCCTTTGAGCCCAACGTAGAGAGAGCTCGAAGGGATTTTTTCCCCCTTGCCCTTTGGGATGGACTGATCTGCTTGTAATCCAAACAGTGTTAGGTGTTGCTGGCTGGCTGGGTGCCAGGATCTGCTGTAGCAACAACCAAGGGGGGCAGTAGGGTGAGTTTTAACCGGTCAATATTTTTTTTAAAATGAGCAGTGACGTCCTCTACCCGAAGGATACCTCCAGCCCTCACAGCGGTGTACCGGCAGAAGTCCTTTGCAGGGGAAGAGATTTTGTGGTGAGTAACCGTAAATAAATAAATACATTCATTTTTGTTTTTGAAAACACTCTCTGTACTACAGCAACTTTGACAAGAGCGGCTACAGGCCAAAGATACGGATGCATCTTCCAGATTCAGCTCCTGCCATTTGCAGGTAGTACCGGGGAAGGGAATAAATCCAGTACTAAACAAAAACAAAAATTTTTGTTTGTTCAATGTATATTTATTTATTCATTTAAAACATTGTTACCCAGCCTTTCTCCTTAAAAAGGACCCAAGGCGGCTTACATCAGGAAAAGAAAGTATTTAAAAGCTAAAAACAGAAAATATACAAATAATTTTTTTTTAAAAAGCATCAAACAAATACCTCACAAAACAATATCAACACCAAAACCAGATTTCAAAGCAATAGGGCACGACACTCCATTAAAACAGCCAGCCAGTTTCGACCCTGCCTTATCCCTTATAGAAGAAATCAAGGTGGCTGATAAATGGTTTAAAATACAAATGTTAAAACAATTGCCAATGTAATAAAACACACTTTTAAAAAAACAATTGAACAGATTAAGTATGAAAAGCCAGCAAATAAAATCCTTTAAAAACCATTCTTAAAGCCATGTTTTAAAAGGTACAAAAACAGTTCTCCCCTAAAAATCTCTTCCTAAGTTGCAGTTTACATATTAAAAGCCAGTTTGAAAAGAGAGCCTGGCCTCCTGTGGGAGGGAGTTCCACAGTCTCGTAGCAGCCACTGAAAAGACCCTTGGATTGCAAATCCCAGAGTTCACAAGGAATTTGGCCCGAGGAATTCTGGGAGATGTAGTCTGATCCTGTAAAACTGCAACAGCTCCAGTTTCAGTAGATCTGAGCTAAGTGGACTCTTGATCTGGTTGGAGATGAAGTCATTTCCTATGTTTTATTTTCTGGAAGTATCAATGGCTATTAATCATGATTAGTTTCTAGTCCTTATGGTACCAGAAGCAGCATACCTCTGTATACCAGTCAGAATTGGCAAATATTGAGGGTGGGTTTTTTTTATGGCAACTCCCCAAATCCCACAGCCAGCAGTTGTGGTCCTCTTAGGTCCATGTGCTTCCCATTTAGGTGTCTGTTTGGCCAGTCGGTGAACAGAATACTAAATTAAATAGTCCGTTTTGCTGATCAGGCACTGGTTATACCTGCTGGGTTGATGAGAGTTGGGGGCCCCAAGCATCTAGAAAGCCAAAGTGTGTCTACCTTGCTCCCAGTGGGTCCAAAGGAGCTGGCTTTTGCAGGAAAGGTGGATTTTAAAGCCAAGGGTTTGTTCATGTTGGAGAGCATGATACATCGCCATTCTTGACAGATCGGTTTATGTCTCTCTTCTCTTTTTCCCTTTCCTTCCCTCTCTTGATGCTGCTCAGATGTGGAAGTTTACCCAGGACCGATGGGTTGTGCGGAAAGAAATAGCAGCCGTTACAAAAGTAAGTTCCTTTATTTAGACTTGGGAAGATGTGATAGTAATCTCAGTTCAAAAATTCCCACCTGAAGGCAGGGCTTATTCTCCAAATACAGCAAACCTTAGAGTCCAAATCCAGCATCCGTGTTGGGATCTGGGATTCCCCAGAGGTGCAGATGACTGGCGAAAGACTTCCAGGAAGAAAGATGATTTTTCCTGATAATCCTGAGACCAGCCAGCTTTAATTCCCCTCCCTCTCCCTTTTCTTTTAGGGAAAGAACTTGCTAGTTATGATGATCTTACCCTGAAAAGCTCAGGGGGTGGTTGGTTTTTTTCCCGTTTAAGCCGCACTGGATATCTGGTTGACACTTTTGTTGTTGTTATGTGCTATCAAGTTGCCCTCCACTTATGGGTTGTTGTTATGTGCTGTCAAGTTGCCCCCCACTTATGACAGTGAGAGATCTCCAGAATGTCTATCCTCAAGCTCAGCTCTTGTAAACTCAACCTTGTGGCTTCCTTTAGGGAGTCCACCCATCTTGTATTTTGTCTTCCTCTTTTCCTACTGCCTTCAACTTTTCCCAGCATTATTGTCTTTTCCAGAGAATCCTGCCTTCTTAGGATGTGCCCAAAGTAGGAGAGCTTCAGTTTCGACATTTTGGCCACCAGAGAGAGTTTAGGCTTTATTTGATCTAAGGCCCACTTGTTAGTCTTTCTGGCGGTCCAGGGTATTCAGGTTGAGACTCTTAGTGAAATTGAAAATATTATTTTCTATTGTCCAAGTTTTATTTTCCCCCGTGGGCCTTAGTCTTTGGTTTTAAATCTTCTGTGTACCTTAACTAGCAGTTGCAAAAAAACCAAAATGAGACAAACCGAGACAAAATATTCCAAATTGACTTATAGAGAAAATGTGAAATCATGGCAAATCTAACAGATTTACCTGTGTTCACTGTTGAAATTGTTTTGTCACGTGTCGTCCAACTCCAGAGGAACAAGGACACTGGCCTTTATAAACGCATCTGCGTGCACTCATTATTTATTTTATTTATTTAAAATATTTTTCACCATCGTTCTCCTTAAAGAGGACCCAAGGCAGCTTATGTCATTAAATACGAGATATAACACTAAAAATAATGAATGTATGCATATTAAAAATGATCAAATAAGCTTTAAAACACAACATGAAAAACATAGTCAAAACAATAAGGCACAAGAATGGATTTTAAAAACCCTTTCAGGCAGTTAATCACTCAGAGAAAGGTCTTTGCCTGCTTGTGGAAGGACAGCAAAGATGGGGCCAGGCTGGCCTCCAGTGGGAAACATTGTTCTGTGAAACACCATTTCCCATAGGAATGCACTGAAAACCAGTTAATCCGTTCCAATTGGAACGGATTCCCGTCCTTAAGTGAAAATCCCCATAGGAATCATCGTTGAGGGAAACGCGGTTCCCCGATTGAAACGCATTGAAGCCGACTCACTGCATTTGAATGGGTTTGCGAACTCTGTTGAACTGTCCGTCCAATGCATTTCAATGAGAGAAAAAACAAAAAATCACCAAAAATTAAGGACGCCTCAGAACAACACCAAATTAAGTTTGCATAGGTTTCAGGAGGTGGGCTAACGATAGCAAGCATTTAAAACACTTTTCAAACAGTTTAAGGCACTTTTACAGGAGCGAAAAGGGACATCGTTGTGCGAAAATTCCCCATAGGAAACATCGTTGTGTGAGGCGGCAAATTTTTCAGGAAAAGCCATCGTTGTGTGAATTTATCGTTGTGTGAGGCACTCGTTGTGCGAGGCACCACTGTACTCTTAAGAAAATGGGTTGTTTAGGCACCTTTCAGCAGATTCCTCTGTCCAAGTTTCCGTCTTCTAAACCGTTGCCCAGCCTCTGCGTTCCTTTTGTAGATCACCTCCTAACGCTTTTGTGTGGCTGTTGATCTCACAAACGACTCGGCTTCTCCAACCCCTTGGAGTGTCTCTTATCCATCGATGGACATAAATAAGTGAAAGTTTGTTTTTTCCAGCTTGGCCCAGAAGATGTGAAGGATTTTTTGGAACACATGTCATTCCTCAGGATAAACAGAGGCTGGGAATTTAAGCTCCGATACGATGAGGATTTTGTCCGGAAGCACCCGGATGTGGTTCAGAGGCAGCAGATGCTGTGGATGGGCATCCAGGCCAAGTAAAGTATCCGTTGTTGTTGTTTTCTTTACGGAGGTGGGGCGTGGGAAGCTAGACCGAAGAGGCAGGAATGTATGTACGTTTCCTGCATGTTAAATTTTCTTAAGGTCTGTCATGATCCACCTCGGTGAGAGGCTTGTGGCTAGGCCTAGGTGGAAGGATTTAGTGAAAAGAACCAGCCACGGATCCAATCACGTTGGTCCCTAGAGAGCCCTTTGAGGTTCAGGCTCTATCCTGGCCCTTCAGCCGGGGACGTGATGATGCTGAAAGCTTTCGCCATGAATCCTGAAGTCTGGCGCACGCTTGGCATCTGGTGGGTGCTCTGTTCAGGGGTTGGTGTTTTGGAGAAGATTTTAATGTTCAGGATCTAGATGGATCAAGCTGTTGCCATTCATTGAGCACGGAAGGATTCCAGATACATCTCTTCCTGTTTTCTTGATTTCAGGTTGGAGAAAGTCTACAACCTGATGAAAGAACACCTGGCCTCCAAGAAGCAACCTGCACAAGGAGGTAGGGGGTTCCGAAATCCAGCTAATAGGATTATTTTGTTATGCTGAACCTTATAAAGCCTCATACGGTTTTGGTCCGGGCCATCTAAAACAGAGGTGCCCAACCTTTTTGCCTCCCTGGACCGGTTTAGCACATGGGGTGTGTGTGTGTTTATGTGCGTGCATGGGAGGGGCCGTGTGTCTGTTAGTGGGAGGGGCCATGTGCCATGCGTGCGTTAATGGGAGGGGTTGTGCGTGTGTGGGAGGGGGGCGTGCATGCGTTAATGGGAGGGTCCGTGCATGCATGGAAGGGGCCGTGCACCATCCATGCATTAGTGGGAGGGTCTGCATGCGTGAGAGGAGCTGTGTGTTTTAAGTATGGGTCTGCATGCGTGAGAGGAGCTGTGTGTCTGTCATTGAGAGGGGCATGAATGCATCCATGCATGCCTGGGGTGTGTGTGAATGCTTCTGCCCATGGTGGGGGGGCAGGAGATTTGCCTCCATGGACCAGGGGTTGAGGACCCATGACCTAAAAGACAGTTCTGTAGCAACCTTCCCATGGGAGTCTACCCAGGTTTTAAGATGGTTGGGGAGGACCTTCTCTTGGTCCTGCTACCCTCCTAAGTCAGTCATGTTTGGGGAGGGCCCAAGAAACTATTTTCAGTGGTTGCTCCCAAGCTGTGAAAGGCCATCCCATGGGAAAGCCAGGCTGGCCCCCTCCTGACTGTTCCTCCATCTGTTGTAGGACCACGGTCTCCACAGGGGATTGGTACTAAACCCCCCCCCCAAGATGCAAATAAGGGTATCTATAGAAATGATAGACATAGCATAGTCTCTCATTCCCTCCAGGGGCCGGTTCTGGCAATACACCTTTGAAACATGTATTTCTGTTTTTTTAAAAAAAATCTAATATTTTAAGGAGTGGATAAGTGAAAACACAGTCCTTATTTCTTAGCCAAGCTCTTAAAAACTGAATTGGAGAGCAGAGGAAGGCAGGTTGCAGTGGGACGCTATACAGTTTACTCCTTTAGGGGGAGCGGCAAGTGAGTGTTTTTAAGCTGTTGGCTTTCAAGTATTATTGTCTATTGGACTGGCTTTTTTTTAACACTGCAACATAATTGTGTTTTGGTTTGTAATTGCCCTAATGAACTCCCTTGGGGCCGTGCAATGGGAGAAAGAATGCATAGATAGGAACATAAGCTGAAAGAAACGAAATGAACGCATCTATTAGGGCTTTTCTTTTCCAAACAGTGTCAACAGCTTTCCCCCTCCTTCCGTCCTGACAAGGTTTTGCAGTTTAGAAAAGGTGAGTTGCTCAAAGCGTAGGCTCCTTTCCAGGTATGAACACTTACAACACTAACAACAGGGTTAGGCTGTTGTCAACCCTAACTCTCTACCCCCAAATCATTTATACTTTGCATTCGATGTCAACCATTGGTTTTTCAGAAGATTTTTGGGGATGCTGAGGCTGTAACATTTCTCTGTCCCTACTAAGGTTTTCTCCAGCTGGCTGGACATCTCAGTGGTTTAGGCGTCGGGCTGGAGAGTCAGAGGTTGGGAGGTCAGTTCCCCCACTGTGGCTCCCCAACTGGGCCTCCCCTGGAGCAGAGCTAGCCTAGGTGGCCTTGGGCCAGCATCACAGTGCCATGGCGCCCCCTAGAGGAAGGGAATGGGCAACCACTTCTCAGTATCCTTCCTCTACCTGGGAAACACTGAAAAGAGTTGCCATAAGTCAGAATTGAATTGACAGCACATGGTTGTTATTATTATTAAGGCTTTCTCCAAAGGAGCCACTGCAGGGACGTGGTGACGCTGCAGGATTAAACCGCAGAAGCCTCTGTGCTGCAAGTAGATAAATAGGTACCACCACGGCGGGAAGGTAACGGCGTTCCGTGTCTAGTCGCGCTGGCCAGGTGACCACGGAAACTGTCTACGGACAAACGCTGGCTCTACGGCTTGGAGACGGGGATGAGCACCGTGCCCTAGAGTCGGACATGGCTGGACTAAAAATGTCAAGGGGAACCTTTACCTTTACAAAGGAGCAGATTTTAAGGCTGGATCTTAAAACAATGCTTATATGAGTTACAGGTTCTTCCTCTATTAGATTTTTTCCAGCAAATTTTCAAGTATTTCTGTTCAAGTAAAGATTGTGATCTGTTGCTATTTATCTCGTTCAGCCCAACATGTTACAAGAGGAAAAGCATATTGACAGAGAGAGGAGGCGTAAAGCACTTCCCTGTAAGGATATTGGAGGGAGCCTGATAAGTGGTGACTGAGTTGGACTCATGTGTTATTAAGATGCAAGGAAGGAAGGAAGAAGGCACATGGCTTGCTAATTACCATGAAAGCTGTGTTTGGACCTGCATCTGCCCTGTTTTAATGTCATATCGGTATCAGAACATGGTTTAGTATCCAGCTCTTTGCCCTAAGGAATCCAGGGGCTTCTAGTTCTGTGGAACTGGGAGTGATTAAGGTCTCCTTGTTAGGTGTCGTGGTTAATCTGGAGTACTGCAGTCAAGGCTCTGCTCATGACCTGAGTTAGATTCCAATGGATTCAGGCAGCTGGCTCAAAGTTCGACTCAACCTTCCATCCTTTTGAGGGTAGTAAAATGAGTACCCAGCTAGCTAGGTTGGGGGAACAATGTGTAACAGTGTGTTTTAAGTACAGTGGTGCCTCGCATAGCGAGGTTAATCCGTTCCGGATTAACCTTCGCTATAGCGAAACATCGCTAAACGGAAATAACAAAGCCATAGAAACGCATTGAGCTTCGTTCAATGCGTTCCTATGGCTTTAAAACTCACGGTTAAGCAATCTTCCTCCATAGCGGCGCCATTTTCGCGCCCTCGGTAAGCGAGGGCAGGGCGCGAAAATGCAGCGCGGACCTTCTGGTGGCCATTTTGGAACCGCCAATCAGCTGTTCTCCCCCGCTTCGTTATGCGATATTCGCTAAGCGAATCGCTTAGTGAATATCGCAAAGCGAAAAAGCAGATGCTCCAGCGATGGCCCAGAGCCCCTCTTTAAGCGATTTAATCGCTCAGCGGGGCACTTGTTAAGCGAGGCACCACTGTACTATAGGGTGGTATATAAGCAGCACATATACTCATTGCCACCATAACTACAGTCCAGAGAGCTGGTAAGGGGGCATGAACTGTGCCTATTTATTTATTTATTTATTGGATTTCTATCCCGCCCATCTAGACCAAAGATAGAGATCTGCTTTCATTCTGCATCTGGCTTATTGCCAGATCTTGGAAACTGAGTTAGCATATGAGTGGAACTTGCTTTTCTCCTTCTCTTCCACCCACTCACAATCTGCTCAGGATAATTAACTCGTTGGGCAGCCTGGGAAACATTGAGCCGCCCAATCAGGGCTGATGTTAAACGTGAACATTTTGAACCAAGAGCCGTTTCTTCCCTATTTGCCTCCTTTGAGACCAGAGCTTAGAAAGTTTCTTTTTAAAAAGTAGCTTGTTGGGTAAAGTCTTGCAACCTCCCCTCCCTTCCTCCCCCCAAAAAAAGAAATTTATTGCTTCAGTTTAGGATGGATGGAGGATGAAAAATCCCACTCAAGTTGCCCTGGAAGTGCTCCCTCCTAGACATCCAGAAATATTTTCGTGAATATTAGGAAAAACTTCTTAACTGTTAGAAGAGTATGACAGTGGAACCCGTTATCTCAGGAAGTGGTGAGCCCTCCAGCGCTGGAGGCATTCAAAAGAAAATTGGACAACTGGCTGTCCCGTCTGCTTTGATTTGGATTCCTGCACTGAGCAGGTGGTTGGGCTCAATGACCCAACACAATGATTCTGGGATACTATGATCCCATCACCCATTTTTAATTTCCTGGAGAAAAATGCAGCATTGCTTCTAACTCAGACTTTCCTGGGGGAGCAATTCCCTTCTAAAGCAAGGTGCAGATTCTTGATTTATTGCAAGGGATGGGAGTTCTGTATCCGAGCATATCTGATTGGAGGGAGCCAAAACCCTGGGTTTTTTTTTTCTTCTCTAGAAGGGAGTACAGTCTGCAAGAGATCTTGGGGAAGGTAAAATTTGGTCCCCAGACTGGCAGTTTCCCCACCAAACCAGGAGTCTTCTTGCTTCTGCTTTTCCAGATGTTGCTGGAAAGCTTAGCTTCCTGTGTTTTCAGCCTGAATTGACGGGGCATCCGTTTTCTGCTTTGCTGCAGTTGCTCCGTTGCTGGTTTCGGGAGAGCAGAGAGTCAGCCTGGCGAAAGCAAAAGTCAAGCAGAACTACGGGCAACTGGAGCAACATTACCAGAAGCAGAAGGCGGACAGCAGAGCGCACGAGCTCAGCTCCCCGACAGACGTTCTCGGCGTCCGTATAAAGGAGGAGCCCGTGAGCGACGAGGAGCCGATGGAGACGTCGGCCTGCGATGGTCTCAATAACGGACTGGTCAACGGTATCCATTCAGAAGAGAACTCGGTGGACTCCTTCAATGGTCACTTGCCCCTCCAGGAGCGGGTCACGCAAGAACTGAGAGCCTTTTTGATGGCGACATTTAAGAAGCAGTATGTGCTGACTCTGAATGAGCTTAAACGGTTATTTAATCTCCACGTGGCTAGTTTGCCTCCAGGGAATCTCTTGTTTAGCGGCATTTCAGACAAACTGTTGCAGGACCTGGTGATGGACATGGGCTGCAAGCAAATAATGGTGCCTGTAAGTGTTTTTCTTTTTAGTCACTTTACTGAATTTAACTTCTTATTGTTTGTTGTTGTTTAGTCATTAAGTTGTGTCTCTCTCTTCGTGACCCCATGGACCAGAGCACACCAGTCTTCGACTGTCTTCCACTGCTTCCCGGAGTTGGGTCAAATACATGTTGGTAGCTTCGATGACACTGTCCATCCATCCTGTCCTCTGTCGTCCCCTTCTCCTCTTGCCTTCACACTTTTCCAACATCAGGGTCTTTTTAAGGGAGATTTCTCTTTCATGATATGGCCAAAGTATTGGAGCCTCAGCTTCAGGATCTTTCCTTCCAGTGAGCACTCAGGGCTGATTTCCTTCAGAATAGATACGTTTGTTCTCTTTACAGTCCAGGGGACTCTCAAGAGTCTCCTCCAGCACCACAATTCAAAAGCATCAATTCTTCGGCGATCAGCCTACTTTATGGTCCAGCTCTCACTTCCACATATCGCTACTGGAAAAACCATAGCTTTGACTATGTGGACCTTTGTCAGCACGGTGATGTCTCTAGTTTTTAAGATGCTATCTCGGTTTGTCATTGCTTTCCTCCCAAGAAGCAGGCGTCTTTTAAATTTGTGGCTGCTGTCACCATCTGCAATGATCATGGAGCCCAAGAAAGTAAAATCTCTATCTCCAGATCTTTCCCCTTCTATTTGCCAGGAGGTGATGGGACCATAATCTTAGGTGTTTTTTTTTTTTATGTTGACCTTCAGACCATTTTTTGCGCTCTCTTCTTTCACCCTCATTACAAGGTTCTTTAATTCCTCCTCACTTTCTGCCATCAGAGTGGTATCATCTGCGTATCGGAGGTTGTTGATATTTCTTCCGGTAATCTTAATTCCGGTTTGGGATTCCTCCAGTCCAGTCTTCCGCATGATGTATTCTGCATATAAGTTAAATAAGCCGGGGGACAATATACAGCCTTGTTGTACTCTTTTCCCAATTTTGAACCAATCAGTTGTTCCATATCCAGTTCTAACTGTTGCTTCCTGTCCCACATATAGGTTTCTCAGGAGATAGATAAAGTGGTGAGGCACTCCCATTTCTTTAAGGACTTGCCATAGTTTGCTGTGGTCCGCACAGTCAAAGGCTTTTGCATAGTCAATGAAGCAGAAGTAGATATTTTTCTGGAACTCTCTGGATTTCTCCATAATCCAGCGCATGTTAGCAATTTGGTCTCGAGTTCCTCTGCCCCTTCGGAATCCAGCTTGTACTTGTGGGAGTTCTCGGTCCACATACTGCTGAAGCCTACCTTGAAGGATTTTGAGCATAACCTTGCTAGCGTGTGAAATGAGTGCAATTGTACGGTAGTTGGAGCATTCTTTGGCACTGCCTTTCTTTGGGATTGGGATGTAGACTGATCTTTTCCTATCCTCTGATCACTGCTGAGTTTTCCAAGCTTGCAGGCATTTTGAGCGTAGCACCTTAACAGCGTCATCTTTCAAGATTTTAAATAGTTCCACTGGAATGCCATCACCTCCACTGGCCTTGTTTAGCCATGCTTTCTAAGGCCCACCTGACTTCACTCTCCACGATGTCTGGCTCAAGGTCTTATTGTTTGACCACGTTGAAATAATGCATATGTATTGCTGTGGCAGGAGGAGAGTGGCAGGTTTCGGGGATGGTTGGTGTGGGTTTGTGTGTGGTACGAAGCATGGCAAGGTCCTCTCACACGGCCCATTGGCTTAGCTGCTGTGATGTCACAAACGCTGGGCGGCCTCAGATTATGTGGCTAGATTTAGAAATGCTCGGATGAGATGCAGGACTTGGGGTGCCAGAATCGGTGAACCGTTTAAGTCGTGCCGTTTAGTTAAGGTGTTTGCTACGTGGCCTGAGCTTTTGAAGGTCACAATGCGGGTATAGGTTCCCGAGGACTTTGACGAAAAGTTTTGGGCCAAGGGGATTGTGGCTCAGTGGTAAGGAGCATGGTTTGCCTGCAAAGGCTACCAGGTTCAAACTCAGCTATCTTTGTGTTAGAAGGAATCAGGCGATGGGGAAGGGCTTGCTCTGGGTTCGGTCACAGAGAGCCACTGGCAGACAGCAGACAAGACTGAGTTGATTAGGTATCATTCTGTGTTTCAGACAGAGAAAACATGGAGCTTTCTAGGCAAAGCTGAAGGACCAGTGGATCTGTAGATGCTGTTGAGATTGTCAACAGAGGCTTAACTTGAACCTCTGAAGTTGTGCTTAAATAAATAAATAAATACATTTTGTCCTTCCCAGCAGCCCTAATCAGCATGGCCAGGAGTAAAAGATGATGAGAGATGTAGTCCCGCGCTGTTGAGAAGGCCAGGCCCCTGCTCTTTGGTATCTTGAGCTGTCTACATTGACACACGTGTCATTACAGAAAAGCTGGTGATAAAAAGAGAGCTGTAGGCGATCCGGTTTCTTGTGTCTTTGGGTCCTGTCTACCCCAACTTCACACCATGTCTTTCTTTAAGCACCCCACCCCAGTATCTTGTTTGGGCTCCGAAGACCATATGCCAGACATAAAACTCTAAAATACATCCAGAATCCACTAAGTGATATGTCGCACATTCTGCAAATATGAAGGCTTTTGAAAATGTTTGGGGAAAATGCAAATACCTTTTAGGAATTGTCATTCATCTTTTAAAAAAAGGTAGCACTCGTTGCTAAAGCATGAATTTTGTTTTATTCCTGTGCATTAATCTGGCTTCTTTTCTCCTAAATATGCAAGTCTCTGCCGGAAACAGCAAAACAGAGGCTTAACTTGAACCTCTGAAGTTGTGCTTAAATAAATAAATAAATACATTTTGTCCTTCCCAGCAGCCCTAATCAGCATGGCCAGGAGTAAAAGATGATGAGAGATGTAGTCCCGCGCTGTTGAGAAGGCCAGGCCCCTGCTCTTTGGTATCTTGAGCTGTCTACATTGACACACGTGTCATTACAGAAAAGCTGGTGATAAAAAGAGAGCTGTAGGCGATCCGGTTTCTTGTGTCTTTGGGTCCTGTCTACCCCAACTTCACACCATGTCTTTCTTTAAGCACCCCACCCCAGTGTCTTGTTAGGGCTCCGAAGACCATATGGACATAAAACTCTAAAATACATCCAGAATCCACTAAGTCAGTGGTTCTTAACCTTTGTTCCTCGGATGTTTTTGAACTGCAACTCCCAGAAACCCCAGCCACCACAGTTGGTGGTGAAGGCTTCTGGGAGTTGCAGTCCAAAACTCCTGAGTAACCCAAGGTTAAGAACCAATGCACTAAGTGATACGTCGTACATTCTGCAAATATTCAAGCTTTTGAAAATGTTTGGGGGAAATGCAAATGCCTTTTAGGCATTGTCATTCATCTTTTAAAAATAGGTAGCACTCGTTGCTAAAGCATGAATTTTGTTTTATTCCTGTGCATTAACATGGCTTCTTTCCCCCTAAATATGCAAGTCTCTGCCGGAAACAGCAAAACAGAGGCTTAACTTGAACCTCTGAAGTTGTGCTTAAAAAGGGGATAAGGCTACTGAGCTACCTGAGGATATTTAGATTCGCTGTTAAGGAAGGACGGCTGGGTTTCTGTGGTTTTCAGTTCCCAGCTGTTTGGCAGGAGATGGGAAGAAGCAGCTGCCCCTACTGACCTTATAGTCTTATAGTCCAGGGAGGATGGATAATTAGATGATAACTCCCACCATGGTCTATTATTGCTAATGCTTGGTTACACTGATGGGATTTCCACACCCAGCCTCTGGAGAGCTTACACATTCTCTAACCTTCATTAGTCCAACCAACGGCTTGAAATCCAGAATTGCAGCACCCTTAAAAGAGGAGTAGAAGGCAGCTTTTTGAGTCCCTTTAAGTTCATTGGTTCTATTCCTGGACTGTTACACTGGTGATACGATTCTTTTCATTTTTGATCAAAATCTGTTCTCGTGTACTTAGTGTCCATGAGATCTGCCGTTGTGGATCAGCAGAAAGCACATGTTTTTACATTAATTAATGTTTGTTTCGAAATCTCGCATGTAGGAAAAGCGGTGGCTTTTTAAAGGATTTTTGAATGATCTGGGTTTCATTGGGTGGCAAAGCAATCCAATCGAGTTGTTTTTTGAATGCAAGGAATACTTTTGTATGAGAGCACATTCCGGCATCCGAGTCAGATATAGACCTTGAACCTCGCTTAAATTTAGGGACTAACCTTTTTCTTTAAAAATAAAAAAGGCAGTCTTTCTCTGTAGGCCTAATTACATGCTCAGTAATACTTATATTTATTATTTCTGTGTTATAATGTCAAAAGTACGCAAAATGGCCAGACTGATTTTGTTTGCTCTGAAAGGGGGGAAGATGGCCTTCAGGGCAGGTCATCGGAGTGGAAGAAATCCTACCAATGTCATCAAGAAGGGATGCTCAGATTGTGTGAGGAATATAAGAGAGCCACTTGTCTAGCTGGAATAAAAAAAGGAATAAAATGATCAAGGCTTAGAGGCAGAGACATGTCAGGAGTAAATGACTGTTTTCATTAGTCCTTGTGAGTCACAGCTCTGAGGCATTTAAGCTGGGAAAGTTTTTATATTGTGGAGTGTAAATTGTGTTACACTGATGATATCATGTCTGGTACTCTGGCTGCTTCTACAGTGGTAGGTAAAGGTAATGGTAAAGGTTCCCCTTGACAATTTTTGTCCAGTTGTGTTCGACTCTAGGGGGCGGTGCTCATCCCCGTTTCCAAGCCATAGAGCCGGTGTTTTGTCCGAAGACAATCTTCCGTGGTCACATGGCCTGTGCGACTTAGACACGGAACGCTGTTACCTTCCCACCGAGGTGGTCCCTATTTATTTACTTGCATTTGCATACTTTTGAACCGCTAGGTTGGCAGGAGCTGGGACAAGCGACGGGCGCTCACTCCGTCGCGTGGATTCGATCTTACGACTGCTTGGTCTTCTGACCCTGCAGCACAGGCTTCTGTGGTTTAGCCCACAGCGCCACCACGTCCCTTCTACAGTGGTAGAATTGATGCAAAAAAAACCCACAC